CTAAATTTTAAATTTTTGAATAGATTGATATTTAATTTTTTTTTTTTAATCTTTTAAATGAACTAATCTTTAATTTTGATCCTTCATATGAGCTAGTTTTAAATTTTTATCTTTTAGCAATTGAACTTATGTATAGTGAATAATAAATTATTTAGAAATTGAATTCATGTCCTGACATAACTTCTGATACATTGTGATATGAAAATATACATTTTTGCATTGTGAAAAGATTATTTATTATAAGGGGTATAAATTATAGACGAGCACAAAATATGCATAACTACACTTTTCGATATTTATGTTTGAAGTTTAACCTTATGGAATTCGCAACTTCAGTTAAAAGTATTTTACATTTTTGGTCATGGAAAATCGTACAAAACTACAGACAAATGGCAAAGCTATACTTCAAAATAAATGTTTAAATTCAAACATGAATTTTTAAACTTCAGTCACGTACATTTGAATTTGTGTCTCAAGTGAGTAAACTTGTCGAAAAAATTTAGCATTAAATTAAATAACGATTTCAAAAGCAAGTATTTGTGCATTTCGTCCACCGTAAGGTCACAAAATAAATAGTTGGGCCTCTAACTTACCTACCCATATCCAAAAGAGATTGTCCAAATTTTCATCTGGGCTTAAGCCCAGGTCCATGGTCTGTTGGTTGGACTTTGCTTATATCAAGTCTTCCTTTAAAAACAAAACACTTCTTTACTTTTTGGGCCAAAACATAGACAACATTCAAAGTTGCCACATTTTAATTTTTCTCAAACATCGGGTGAAAAATTCAAAAATAAAATAAAGTGTTGATGTATTAATATGATCTTCGAGATATTTCAAATTTTTTCTTTGTTCATATGAGAATCAGCGTACTTCTATAATACTTTCCCCAGTAAATACACGTTTACTAAAAAACACATGTTGAACATAAAAATATAATTAAACACAACTTCATCTTCAACTTGAACTTCATAATATTTCAAATAAAAATAAATAAATTGAAATCTATTACCAAACGCCTTCTAATCTAGAACACCATGTTAATCTAATTTTGTACTGATCTGCAAATTGAGAATTAAACTATGAAAACATGTTTTAACATATTTCTATATATATCTAACAGGTTTGGCAAGAAATTAAATCAATCAAGATATTGAAACAACTATTGAAAATTAGCGCAGCCCATAGAAAACATTTTTTACCAGTATATAATAGGTGGAATTTGTTTCTTCATGATAGTGAGATAATTAATTGTTTACTATTATCTCATGGGGTTGGCTAATAATATATTAAAACTAACCAAATGACTAATGTTTTCGTAATCAAAATTAGTTGTTCGATGACTAGTGTATTCATATTGAGTTCAAATTAATTTGAATTCGTATAAAAAAATTTATTAAAACTAACCAAATGACTAATGTTTTCGTAATCAAAATTAGTTGTTCGATGACTAGTGTATTCATATTGAGTTCAAATTAATTTGAATTCGTATAAAAAAATTTAAAATTGCTCCATAATAAAAAAAAAATCTTAATCAAAACTTGAACCGGAGACTTCTAACAAGTAGGTGACTTTATGACAAGTAATATAAGCCTGACTTGAATATGAGCTCTTTCATTGGGAGAGTCGACCCAAAAAAATATGTCTTATAATGCACAGTAGCAATTTAATTGAACCTCAACAAAAATATCGAATCCTAAGTAAAAGAGAGAAAAAAAAATGGTAAGAAACAAATCTAATATAGCTTACTATATGTCCATTACCCAAATTTTGACTCGAAGAAAGTAACAAGAATTTACAAGGTGATTATTATGTACACAATAATCAATTTCTTCAAAGTACATCTAACATTCGATTATATAATATATATAGTTTGTACTTTTAAAAGGTAGGTAAATAAATAAAGCAAATAGGGATTGAAATTTCAAACTTTATACATAACAAAAGAATCACAACACAAAAATTGGGTATATTTGTATTTTTTTATATAATGTTTTACTCACTCTTATTGGTCTTCTAGTAGACTTTTAGTATTTTATGAATTTGGTGAAACAAAAGTATATTACACTAATTTTGACCAATAGCTGGCTATGGACATTTTCTTTGGTCCTAATTTTTGGATTAGTGTGGGGCAATTTTTTTACTTAATGCATAAGAATGTAGGTCCATTTTGGAGTACAAATAATGTACACACCATTCATATATATATACACACATATTTTTTACCGGGGAACCGATAATTACTATTTTCAGGTGTTCACATTGTAAACTCTGCTCCAATGTAATAGTCCACAATCACACAAAAGAGATAAACTTCATTAAACAAGCCCCTTACGACGAGCTTGACTGAAAATGTATACGAGAGATTTCAAACATGAATTATAGTATATATACGCACTTTAAAGAGTCTTAATTTTATCAATATTTTATTTTATATATGATCTCCTGAATTTATGTATAAGGTAAGATCAATGTTTTCAATCTACCTTTATTCGATGAATTTTACTTCAAGAAATCAAGTTAAGTTGGCAGTTTCTTTCAACTTCATTGACAACGTAAAAATGAAAAAATAAAAATTTAAAAAATCATTGTGAACCCACCATTTAATTATCTAGGACCTATTCACATTATACGTATTATGAGAACTCATACCGATATGATTTTAAGGTAAATATTTATAGTAGACGTTTATATCAAATCATGTTAATTTATTGTAGTTAAGTAATTTAACAAAACGAAAATGCACATCAACTAATTACCATGATTAAGTGTAAAGTCTATGATCAAACACATTGTACATATGTGTCTATTGATTCAACGTAAATATCTTAAAGCAAATTTTTTCTACTTAAAATTAACTCACATAGGAATCTTGTAAAAGAATATTTTTACACTGTCAATAAATTTTAACATGAGATAACATGTATAATTAGTTATCACTTTTATCGTATCATCAATGTTAGTCAAATTATGTGTATACTCGTATATAATCTATTAATTGTATTTTTTTGTTAACAATCGATTTTGTGTCATATTTAATTACACTAAAATTTTAAAAATTATCTTATATAGTCAACGTATAGAAAATTATTTTAAAAGTATATAATTTAAGTACATAAATTTGTTTTTTTAATTAAATATAATTTGAAACATACTTTGCCCCTATGAGAATTTTTAATATTTGTCCCAATTTTTTTTTCCCTTTAAACTAAAGCAATGAGAGGAAAGGAGATGTTAAAGTGGCGTTTTCAGAAGGTAAACAATGACACGCGCTAGTACGCGCTGCATGACCAAGTGACACGTGTAGAGAAAGTAGATAATTTTTAAGAAGGGAAAAGGGTCAAAATTACCCTTAAATTTTGTTTTATTAGTTGACTTTACCCTTACCGTTAAAAACAAGTTATTTTTACCCCTACTGTCAATAAACTTAACAAATATACCCCTCCTTGGATGGAAAGCCTCAAATCAATTAAAATTATCCAATTTTACTTAAATTATCCAATTTTAACCCGACCCGACCTACTTAATAATATAACCCATTTCTTTTACCCAAATCAACTTTATTTTCCTCACCACCACCAAAGCCACCACCCTCTCCGAGATCTCCTTCACCCCCACCGCCGAAATCACCACCTCTCCATTTGAGCAAAGCACCCTCATCAATACCCAATTCCCCACTAGGCAAATTGATCCTAAGCAACTTAATTTCCTCAAAATTCTTCAAAAGCTGTGTAAGGGAGTGATGTGTAACAAAAACAAAATCAAATAAGTCAAAATATAATAAAAATGGAAAATTAGTAAAAGCACATGGACGCACTTGTTGCTCACCTTGGAAGCTACATCATACAGGTTCCTTATTCTTTTGAGCTGCTATAAGTCCAGCATAACAGAATTTATTCAGACCAAGACCAGCATCAGTCATGTCCCGAACAATTACATACCTGCAATGTTGAAAAAGAAGCCAATTAGATGACGGAGGAAAACAAAGATTATGAATCCAACATAAAATAAACCACATAACATCATGTTCGGAAAGATTGGATGAAATATGACACTGAAACATCAACAATGAGCGCAGAGAAGTTGACTCTTGATAGGGCTGCTGACTTGGAGGAGGTAGAGTAGTGGGAGAGGTGGTGGTTTCGGCGGTGGTGGTGAAGGAGATCTCGGAGAGGGTGGTGGCTTTGGTGTTGGGGAAAATAAAGTTGATTTGGGTAAAAGAAATGAGTTATATTATTAAGTGGGTCGGGTCGGGTTAAAATTGGATAATTTAAGTAAAATCGGATAATTTTATTTGATTTGGGGCTTTCCATCCAAGGAGGGGTATATTTGTTAAGTTTATTGACGGCATGGATAAAAATAACTTGTTTTTCAACCAATAAAACAAAGTTGAGGGGTAATTTTGACTCTTTTCCCTTTTAAGAAAATAAATCAAATAATTTCAAAAAAAGCAAAAAAAAAAAACCCAAAGAATGTGAAAAATTAGTAACTTGGCTATATTTATATTTTAAAAATTAATTATATAAATATGTATAAATATAAAACTAATTCAAATGGTGGATAAATACATGCATTCAAAACTAATAAACTCAAATTCAGAAGTTATCTTTATACCTTTTTCGTCAAAAATACTGAGTTCTGCTGAAATCATTCTTAGTAAAAAAAAATTAAATTCCGCTGAAATCATAGTCAATAGCACAAAACATTCCATAGTTGCTTATTAAATAATCATAAGTAAATTTCTATAATAAAAAATAAATATTTATAGGTCCTAAACATGATAAATAGTAATTAACTTACCATAATAGATTAATAATTAAACTACCATTATATATATAAAAAAAAAAATCTTGAAATTTAGGTGGAGGGGGGGGGGGGGGGGGGGGGTTGGGGGTGTAGATTTTGATTATATATATATGTAGGTGGCATTTGGTGCTAGTCTTCAATAGGACATCTCTTCTCTTTTTTTCTCTTTCTAAAAAAAAAAAAACTCCATTTGTCAACAATAATACCTTTTGATAAAACTATAGGTTATAACATTTTATCCCAAAGTTTATATTTTTATTGTTTTATTTCTTGAAAGAACATGGGGAGACAACCTTGTTGTGACAAAAATGTAGTGAAAAAAGGTCCATGGTCATCTGAGGAAGACAAGAAGCTTACTAATTTCATCCTTAATAATGGTCAATGTTGTTGGAGATCTCTCCCTAAACTTGCAGGTTTTTTCCTTTCTCATTCTTCCTCTTTTATTTACGATCGAACAGTATCGGAGTAAAAAATTTAATTATATCATGGAATTTAGAAAATTATTAAAACGTCACATTTGTGACTTAGATTTATACTTGTGACGTAAAGTAATTGCTACATTAGAATCTTTCTTTTATGTCAGATAAATTCAACAATTTATGATGTATGAAGAGGGAAACTTGTTTTTTTTATTTAAACAGTATATTTTTCGATAAAGGAGATTCCGAGCTCTCAACGTCTTTGAAATGAAAAGGAATTGTTAATTTCAATGATTGTACCAACCCCATTGGTCCAATTCTCATAAAGAAATCCAAACATGGGAGAAAATATATGGTTTTGTTAATAAAATTGGTTTTTTATTAAAATTAAAAAAAATGACAGATAATAAATTTATTGACTTGATAGAAGATATCTTCACCAGATACCTCAGAAATACTATGATTCTTGTAATCTTGTTTTTATTTATTTATTATTTTATTATTTATGTTGGTGAGTTTATTTCTTAGAAAAAAATTAATAATAATTTTGGTGGATGTCATATTTATTGCAGGGCTATTGAGATGTGGAAAGAGTTGTAGATTGAGATGGACAAATTATCTAAGACCAGATTTGAAAAGGGGACTTTTATCAGAATATGAAGAAAAAATGGTTATTGATCTTCATGCTCAACTTGGCAATAGGTACATATTTTCTCCATTCATATTATGTCGGAGTCAGCATTTTCATTAACGGAATTCAATTTAACCTATTTATACTATGTCGGAGTTAGCATTTTGGGATTCAATCATAGCTTCGCGATATTATCATAATCTATTTCTTTTTTGTGTCTACCTTTATATATATGTGTATGAATGCGAAAAAAATAATTATAAATAGAACCTCTTTTTTTAAAAAAAAATTCACAATGTTTAAATTTTGTATTCGTTATGACATATATATATGTTACATGTGGAGCTTATTTAAAGAAACTTCTAACAAAGAAAAAGAAAAGGAGTGACTTCAAATGATAGTTTGAAGTGGCAGACAACAATTTCAACTCAATTTTAGGCACCCATTCTCCACTGTATACCTTTTTTTTTCACTTTCTAATTTTGTATACATTAATTTTATTTTGGCTATTCATTACACTATTTTTTAGATAAGTGGGGAAAAGGTAAGTGAAACTTTTCAATATAAAAAATAATAATTTAGTGCACATCTTTGCATTTATACACGTTCGACGAAGAATTGCACTTCAAGGAAGTCTATTCTGATATGAGTAGTAGCTTACTATAAATATGTTCGCTATAACATGTTAATTTATACTAATAAATATACATTGCAAGATTCTTAGCACTATATCGATATATAAATTAAATTCTTATTTTATTTTGTAAAAATTGTTTCTCATTTCATTTGCTTGTCCAAAATTATTTTCAGGTGGTCTAAAATTGTTTCTCATCTGCCAGGAAGAACTGATAATGAAATTAAGAACCACTGGAATACACATATTAAGAAGAAGCTCAAGAAAATGGGAATTGATCCAACCACTCACAATCCAATTACTAGTGACCAACTAACAAAAAATCAACCAATTATTCAACAAGAAACACAAATTCCTATAGAGGAACCAATTGTAGAAATCAAATCAGAAGCAAAACAAGAAGAAAACAAGAACATTGGGACTTGTACAAAAAACATCAACTCAATTGATGAAGTCATGAATGATGACTTTTGTACTAATGAAGTCCCCTTAATTTCACCAAATGAAATTTTAGTCCCTCATGAATCAACATCTTCATTTTCTTCTCAATCATCCATCAATATTCTTGAAGACTTTTTACCAAAGTGGCAATGTGATTTCAACATGGAAATTAGTTGGGCAGATGATGATTTCAGAAGCACTTTAGATTATTTACTCAATGATGATGATGTTAGTGACATGAACAACACCACCATTTCCCAAGATTGGTCTCAAGTGTTGGAAGTTTGAGATAACACACTATTATTAAAAAAAACGTGAATTTTCGACGAACATTTCATTAGAAATGAAAATAAAAATTCACGTGTTTTTAGCGGTGACAGTTATTGTTATTAACTTTTCAAAGGAGAGCAAAATTAAGCTCTTTCTTTTGATTGGCCAGTCACTTTTTTTTTTGTATCGTCTATAGAAGTTTACATGGTAGAGTTGTTACTATAGTTCATGGACAATAAAAAATAAAAATAAAACAGATATGTTTATGGAGACAAATTACATAAATAGCCTTATCAAATATATTTATGTTATGGATGATAATACAAAAGTATACGACTCTTTTTCTAATTTTAGTTTTATATATACTTTAAATTTCATTAATTTATTGCTGGGTATTGAAACAATCAATCTGGTGCATAAAGCATTTTGCATAATCAAACCTGTGAAGACCCGCATCTCAAGTACTACTAATGCAGATAACTTATCATGATATAAATATTAATAATTATTTTTACGATGCAAACGTGTAGTCTAAAGATAACAGAGATAACTTTGATATTTTCTTTACAATAATCATTCTACCTAACTGATTAAGACGTCGAGTTACTCTATGAACTTTCTCTTGAGTCAAATAATAGCATATAAGTTCATATATGAGAAATAGACAAATTACATATATTAATTACGAAAGTCAAATATTATCAAGTGCATTTTATACTAATTTAATAAATTAAGTCGCAATTTCCAAGTGGAAATTAAACCTTCCTCAGTCCCAACTAGAAATTAAATTAGATAATTAAAAAAAATAGTGGAAGATGCCAAACATTTAGAATATTATCATTGACTAAATGCAAAATTAGAAGAGTAGAAGTAACTTTTGCATAATTAGACTAAAATATATTTTTGTTATATAATAATAATTAAAAAAAATCATTTAGAATTAAAGTTTACTCTGATCTATGATAATATAATTTAGAAAATAAAAATTGCTACGGGATGTTGAATCGTGATGGGATGATTGGAATCCCTCTATTCTTAATTAGAGGTTTCTTGAATCCTGTGTAAGGAAAAAATTACTCCCTCCGTCCCTATTTACTTGTCCATATTTCCTTTTTTAGTTGTCCCTATTTAGTTGTCCATTTTGACAAATCAAGAAAGGACAACAAATTTTTTCCTATTATACCCTTATTTACACTTCTTGAAAATTGTAAAAGTGTATGTTGTTTCCCTCCAATTTATTTCACTTGAATTCAAATAAGTGGTTGTAATTTTGAAGTAAAAAGTTGTCATAAGGGTAAAATTGTAACTTCACTGTGCTAATCATTGTTGCCTTAATCTGTGTGTCATTTCTAAAGTGGACAACTAAAAAGGGACGGAGGGAGTATGATGGAAGCACAACACTCGAGCAATGCACACAACTAAAAAAATCACTATTTTTTCACTGAAAAATGTTCAGTGCTATTCCCACATATATTTCGATTGAATCAATGTGAAAAAGAATAATTGTTTCATACAAAAAAATTAGAAATCTTTCTACTATTCAGTGAAAAGCTATTTCTCACCATCCATTTTTTCAGTGAGCTAATTTGATTGTGAAAATGAATGAAAAAAACAATATTTTGTATTGTACAAATTTTCCACCAATGCGGGGGGGGGGGGGGGGGGGGAAGGGGGGGAATAAAAAATCAGGTGATAACCGAAAAAAATAATAATGCAAACTCACATATGACGCAATCCATTTAAGAATGTATACAGATAGATACCTCTTGACTATGCATAGAATAAAACATATATTTTTATCACCATTCTTTTTTTTTTTCTAAAAAAAGTCTTTTTCGTATACAAGTTGTAGTATTTTGTAACATAATTGCAAAATAAAAAATAAAAATTGTATTAGTTGTTTTTGACGAAGGTGGTGTCCGAGCTAGTTTGCCGTACGCCTCAACTATTTTATGTAGTACTCCTATTATACTATGTTTTAAAATTATCCCCTCATTTTAAATCTTTATTAGGAGGTTAAAGAACAAAATAGATATTTTTTCATTTACGTTGATGGTCTTTCAATTTTGTTGTTATTATTTTTCTTTTAATCATGTTTTATTACACTTCTTTTTAATGGACGATCTATTGAGTTGTTGTTGCAATAATGATATAGTTCCTCATCTACAAAAATTAACTCATTTTATAATACTATAGTTTGTTCAAACTTTGCAACACTGACTTTGATACCAGAGTTATATGTGTAATAAACAGCATTAATTGTTACAAGAATAATACTCTATGTAGCTACATTTTTCCATGGTGTGAACTAAGGAGTAATATTTTTAAAAATTTGACCAGAAAAAAAAAACGTCTTAAGTGAAATTTATTTGAAATCTTGTTAGTTAGTTTCTTTGATTGACAAGAAAAATCCACAGTTTCATATTATTGTCTAAAACAACATCAGAAAGGTAAACTAACCACACTAGGTAAGTCTCATACAACGAGTTTAACCAAAAAAGTATGCTAGTTGCTATTGTCAAATTAGTTGGTTTTTAAATTGATAATTAGATAACCTAATCATATTTCCAACTAAGAATATGGTATGATTACAAATTCAATGATGTTGTTGGAAACATATATTATTCCAAATACAATTAACTAATTGACTCTTCGTGCGTTTGTTCAGTTTTATTTCTTTAAAAATAATATTTGTTAGAATATATCTATCAAATATTATTAAATAAGACACAAGGTAAGAATTATTAAATGAACCAAATTGCAAATCATCCTAGTTGTTAGGAAATACAAAAACATAATGTCGCAATTAAGTCAATAATAAAGAATTCCACCAATAAGGATTGTGGTGAATAGAGAGGGTTCTCTGCTTCTTAATTAGAGAACACAGTTCACGCTTTGAATAAAAAAAATTGTAAGAATATACTTTCTGTTTAAAAAAGCTTTTATGCGGTGTGAATTTAGATTAGTCGAGAGGAAGAGTGACAATACGAGTACTAAACATCGGGAAATTAATCAAAAAAGATTTATATTTATGATTTATGAATTATAGGGCCTTGATATATCAGGAGGATTTCAAAGATGGCTTTTATTTTTGTATAGAATAAAGTCTTACACTAACAAAATAGTGACATATATATGGGTCCAAATTAGTTCAAAATCTTGAATTAAGTTTCCTAATTTTGAATTTTTGGTAATTAAGTGTGATTTTAGATGAACAATTATAAGTCAATTTTAGGTCTATTTAGTTGAAATATTGTGGTTTTCATTCTACTTACTATATATATTATTTTATGTTTTTCCTGTTGATGACGCTAAGCAAGACCACCAACTCGTCAAGGAATATGATGGGATGATCGGAGTCTCTTCATCCTTAATTAGAACAGTAATTATGAATTTGAGTCCTAGAAATAATATAATTGTAAAAAATATTTTATCTATCTATTTAGAATAAATTTGAATTAATTAAACCAATAAGCTATAAACGAATATAGTCAAAAGAAAAAAATAATGTTCGAATTGCGTGATTTTCTCTATGGTAGAGATGTTGCTTAAAGATGTAAATTTTGACTTTAATATTTAGCCATTTGTTCCTTTCCCACAATTTTTTTTCTTTTTCTAAAACAAAAGGACCACCTATTTACTTTTATATTTATTTGTTTTTTTGGGAGATCTTGGAAAATCATAAATTAAAGAACTTTGAGATCGAATCAGGGTCTTCTTTTTGGTTTGAAATTTGTTTCTTCCAACAACCTTATAGACAGAGGTAACTTATCCGAGTTCAGTTGAATTCAGTATTTTTGATCATATATATATTTAAAATATTAATATTTTAATAAATATATATTTTGAACATATCCAAATTATAATAATTATAATATTAAAATTTTTAAGAAATTAAAATTATTAAATTTAAAGTCTAAATCCGTCTTTTGGCCTAAAGGAATCTCTTTGGTTTTGCGTGTGTGTGGATCTTTATCTTTAATTAATTAGATGAGAAGATTCGAATCTTATATATATATATATTTAAATTGATGGAAAAACTTATTAATTCTTTATAGAACATATATTAATAACTCTCTGGAAAATCCTCTTTGCCTACCTAAGATTCCTTAATTTGATTATGTAATTGCTTCTGTATGCAAGTAGCTTTTGTCTAAACAAATTTGTGTTTCTAATTTATTTATTTTGTAAAATTACTACCACGACTTTTATCGACCCCAAAGAAGGAAAAGAACGAATTCACAAAGGGTGGTTAAATGAGCAATTTAGGTTTTTTATTCGAGTCATGAAGGTATTTTGTTTTGAAAGATGAATTGTAAATGAAGTAATTAGTATGATTTGGTTTAAGTATTAAATACGAAAAAGTTTTCACCATTTTAGTAGTTCCTATATGATTTCATTGTGACTTTTTTTTCTTTGTTAGAATAATAATTGTTTGAGTCTCTAATATTTATATTAGATTAGGTTTTTACATCCTTAATTAGGGTGCAATTTTTATTCGAATCTTACATAAATATAAAATTTCTTGTGCATCGAGTTGCGTCACTCTAATGAAAACACATAAATACTCTCTCCGTTCATTTTTACTTGTCACCAATTTAACTTGTCATATCCATTAAGAAAATAATTAATGTTATAGATATTTTACCAAACTATCCCTTATTAATTATTTTATTTTTATTTATTTTTTAACCGTGGTTTCCGGGTGTCGCTTTGCAAACCCGACTAGCTGTACCCACCGGGTCCCGCTGTTTCAAGGCGGGTGCACCACGGTTAGTTCCACGGGGCCCTGGAGACGCGGCCGGTTTGTAATGCCTCCAGTGGCCCTGCTGGGGCTCGAACTGGCGACCTGAAGGACTTTGTCCTCAGGCCTTTACCAGCTGAGCTACCCCTCAGGGTTATCCCTTATTAATTGATGTCTTAGAAAATGATTTGAAAAATAAGTGTTTAATGCTGATGGTAAAACATTGAAAAAAATTATTGTGTTTTCTTGATATGTCAAAAGTGATAACTAAAAATGAAAATCTATTTAGAATAAGTGACAAGTAA